GTATGTTAGTAGTAGAACTTACCCAATATTGCTAGAAGTATGCATGGTACGTGAGTAGTAGAACTTACCCAATATTGCTAGAAGTATGCATGGGACGTGTGGAGCAATACTTACCCAATATTGGATTGCCTCTACTTGCGTATCCAAGAATATCAAATGCAAAACTATGGTCAGCTGTTACGATTGTGAGCGTGTCATCGTCATTAGTGATGTCACTGGCTCTCTTGATAGCCTCTTCGAAGGCAACGCCATCTACCAATGCATGGTACCCTATCCCTTCATGGTGACTATGGTCCATGCGACCACCTGTGGATATTAATAACAATGTCATATTTTGTGCTATTTTCTATGATTGTTTACGGTTGCATCATTATAAACTTGTCATCCAAACCAAAGTCGTTCATCACCTACAATACAGCATATCTCTATAAACTAATTTTATTGAGGGGAAGATCAAACTACCTCTTTTATATTATACCAATATCACTCATTTACGTCATAACAATATCATCAATTTACGTCAAAACAATATAACCCATTTACGTCATAACAATATCACCCATTTATGTCATAACAATATCATCAATTTACGTCAAAACAATATAACCCATTTAAGTCATAACAATATCATTCATTTACGTCATAACAATATCATCAATTTACGTCAAAACAATATAACCCATTTACGTCATAACAATATCACCCATTTATGTAATAACAGTATCACTCATTCATGTCATAACAGTATCACTCATTTATGTCATAACAATATCACTCATTTATGTCATAACAATATCACCCATTTAAGTCATAACAATATCACCCATTTATGTCATAACAATGTCACTCATTTATGTCATAACAATATCACTCATTTATGTCATAACAACATCACTCATTTATGTCATAACAATATCACCCATTTAAGTCATAACAATATCACCCATTTAAGTCATAACAATATCACCCATTTATATCATAACAGTATCACTCATTTATGTCATAACAATATCACCCATTTATGTCATAACAATGTCACTCATTTATGTCATAACAATATCACTCATTTATGTCATAACAACATCACTCATTTATGTCATAACAATATCACCCATTTAAGTCATAACAATATCACCCATTTAAGTCATAACAATATCACCCATTTAAGTTATAACAATATCACCCATTTATATCATAACAATATCACTCATTTATGTCATAACAATATCACCCA